TCGAGAAGAAATGGAAACTTAGGTCTTAAATCTTATTTATTTTAAATGTTACGGTGTAATTTTAGATTTCTAATTTGTAAGTTTATATTTTTATTTATATAAGAAAAAGATTTGTCTACAAAAATTACAGTGGTTTATTTTTTATCACGCACTTTTCCCTTTCAATGATAACAAAACAGTTTACAGCTATTTCATTTATTATTTTATTTATTACAATAATACAAAATAACTTATTCGTTCTCCTGGCTACGAAGTCTTGCATGTCCATTTGTAACACGCACTGACAACTGTTGTGCCCTTTCTACAATAGTCTTTCGCTTTTTTGATGACACTCCATGAGCAATTTCTGCACAGAATTTTCGATTTTGCATCATCAGGACTTCAAGTTCCTAAAAATAAAAGTACAAACAAATTCAAGCAGAAATTACAAAAATAAGCATACAAATGTAGTGTTTATGTTTAGCTCAGTGACAAATGTCATCAGATGTAGTCAGACGCAAATTACCATAAGCATCATTGCTAAACACGAATTAGAATAGATTCAACATCTTAAACAGAGTATACTTACTTTGACATTATGAACTAGGACTTTCCGGAAGCCAGTTGGTAGCATGTGGCGCGTTTTTTTGTTTGAACCGTAACCAATATTAGGCATCAAGTATTGTCCCTTGAAGCGCCTGCGAACTCTGTTGTCAATACCCTTAGGTTTTCTCCAGTTTCTCTAAAATACATATTCGGTCAAAACAATTAGCGAAAGTAAGGTTACAAGTCATCCAATTTCCACATAAAAATAGGAATTACTAACCTTTAGTTTAGCATAACGATCTGACTGATGTCTAATAAACTTCTTTGTACGTTTTTTTACAATTCTAGGCCTATATACTGGTCTTATTGCCATCTTGGTCTGCAAAGTAAAAAATTTAATTATTTAGAAAACTATTCTTATACATGTGCATAGTTTTTATCATACTTTCTAATTAATATGGTTTTATGTCAAGAATACTTACTGATGGATTTTATTTTTAAGGATTATTTTAAATGTGTAATATGTACACACACTATTGAGGTTATTTGACGTGACCCGAAAAGAAAATCCATAGAAAAAAGTCATAGATAATAGATATACAAAAAGTTGTAATTATCTATGGTTGTGATTGGTATCTTGTTAGTCAGTATTGATTTCTATGTTGGCGTGCCTGAAATCACTAAACAGTTACTATACAGGTACGCTCAAGAAATATTGTATTAATTTCAAATTGAAGTTATAAAAATTAATATGAATTTCTATGAATATATCATTATGGTAGTGATTCAAGTATATTAATATTAGCTATATGTTGCATTTTTTAAACACGACAAAAGTTTTAAATTACATACTTATATCTAACAATTTTGAATACTACGATTGAAATGAAATTCCACGTTTCTAGCTTTAAAATTAGAAAAGGTGCTGTGTTTTTATCTCTTTTTTTGTTATGATTTTTCTGTAATAATTAAACATTAGCGGTGCATTTGATCATTATTAACTTTTATAAAATAAGACATTTTATATAGTAACCAGTTCTTTATTTAAAGCCGACCGATCTTATGAATGCATTAAATAAATAATTTCAGTCAATTTTTTCTTTTTTCTTAATTCGTAGTAGTAAATGTGTTCATAAATTTCTATTTAAAGAAAGAAATGTCTACTAAAAGATATATGGGCGCAGATGTTAGCACATAATAGTAGATTTCAATTATGCCATCTACCTGAGATTTTCACCCTAATAATTCCTGTCCTGCACGGTAGAAATTCAAATAAAAACGGTTAGAAGGGAGATGTTGCTTTTACTTTCGTTATTAAGTTTGTGATTGGTTGCCCACTTTTGGCGCGCTCATACTCAGCGCTCCTAGCGGAACGCCTTGTTATTACCTGTTTCTCCGGCCGTTCATCGAGAGGTAAGTCGATTTATTAATTTCTTCAAATATTTAATATAAAATAAGGAAAATTATTTAGGACGTGCCAAAATTCATCATAAAATAATAGTTTTTTAGTAGAAATTTATCGTGCACCGTATATTTCGGTTCGAGTCGTACTTACAGAGGAATAAATTCTTTAGCTTTGTTTATCGAATATTTCGTAGCATGGCTGCTTTGGTTGTCACAGTTGAACTTGCCATTTCTGCATTTACGCTTGTAAAATTATTTTCTCTTCTACATACTATGGTTGAATACATTGAATGGTATCAAATTAAAGCTAATTTTTCGTAGAATGTGTTTGGATTATGTACTCCGAGATTTAAAGCTGGCGTATTAGAAAAAATAATTGGGTGTAGGCTTAGAATTTTAATGTTATTTTGAGTTAGCGCGCGCGCGGATGGTTTTATTTTGAAGACGCCGATCATAGTCGAAAAAAGACACGTTATTTTGTTTTGTTTGCTGCTCTTGCAGTGTGCAAAAAATTCGCGGCCGACTTAAAAAAAAAAAAACTTGAATGAATCTATCCGCAAAACAAAAGACACTAACCTTTTAAAACTGGTTTTTGCAATGTTTCAATGTTTGCTCGAGTAGTACCCACTAGGTACAGAAGTTATTGAATAATTCGCACTTCTTTGTTATGGAATCATTTCTTCAACGATAAATACTGTAGGGTTGTGATATGCAAGGGCTTGTTTTGGTGCCAAATAATATCGATTTTTGTTCTGCTTTGTATTAATATCTCAAATAATAACGCTTTAGTTGTTAATTTATCGAATTAAAATTAATTAATAATTTTTTCATTGATAGTTTATAAATTAGTGTCCCACTATTTTTGTAATTTAATATCGGACGCTAGGAAAATTACATGCGTCTTCAATGTTCATTAACGACATGTTTTAATAACAGCCTATAAGATTTGTTTTTTAACTTTGTTGAATGCAGGATAATTAACGCGTACCTATGCAAATTAGATTCCTAGAGGTCAAAGGGGTTGAATGCATATTAAATATAAGTGCCCTATATCCTCTAAATCCTTTTTCTGCTTTTCGAAAAAATGATGCTGAAGTAATTGCATCATAATGAAAGAACTGGTTGTTTAGTAAAAGGCTTAGGAATTTTTACGATGCACTTATCAAAAATGACGGGTAAGACGCTATACCTATGCACCCCGTTAATCTTACATTGTGATGTGATTGAAACTGCGCAAATAATACAAACTAAGGGAGGATATAATGAAATTATTTATTTAATGAACATCTGAATATGTTATTTAACAATAGATTATTTTTTTTTAAGAAAATTTAACTGCAAACATCTTTGTCGTATTAGGATCGCATAATTGGAAATATTTTATGCAAGCGCGTAATAGATGCACCCATAGAGATAGAAAATCGATAAAACTGAATTGGAGGCCGTAATTTTCCGTGTTGCTCTTGAAATTAATAAATATGTTTAACAAATATTTTTTTAAATAAAATGTATTTTATGACCATTTTTAGTTCCTTTTAATTTTCTTCATAAGTTAACTCAATTAGTTAGCGCACTATAGTATAAAATGTGCACATACGGTATGTCGACCAAGCAACGAACCCATTAGCTAATAGCTTTTACTTTTTGTTTCCAGGAAATTTTAATTTTTCTGAAATTGAAAATGTCTGACGACGCAGCGGCACCAGCAAAGCGGGGTCGCAAAGCCAATGCCGAAAAGGCCGAAAAAAGTGACAAGACGGAGGCCAAAAAGCGCACAAAAAAGGTACTTAAAACAACTAATAAAGTTACCACTTTTATCAAATTATTTTGTTTTTAAGGATGCCAAAGCTGACGAAAGCGGTGACGAAGTACCCGTGAAAAGGGGCCGCGGCAGGCCGAAAGGCACAACAAAAAAGAAAAACTCTCCAAAACCGAAAGCTAAAGGAACAGGTAAATAAATTTTATAATAATTGAAAAATTACTCAATAAAAAAATGTTTTGTTTAAGGACGTCGGGGAAGGCCCAAAAAAGAAGACAAAGATTCAGCTGAAGAAGAAACAGAAGAAAATGAAGCAGAGGAAGAAGAAGGAGATGAGTAAATAAAAATATTTTATTGTATGAAATAGGTGGCAGCTCCTAGAGGGGATTTACCTTCCCCCCTCTGTCTAAAACCGGTGCCATTTTTTTACGTTAGATTGTAAGGATTCCTTTTCACTTTGATTCTTTGTGTGTATTTGTTTATTTGACTAGAAAGTGTTCAAAAGTGGGCCAAAAATGATCTCAAAAAAAATAAATAAATTATTTAAGCGTCGTGCATTCGTGGTCAACGGGAGTTGCTACCTGCAATATATTTTTTTTTCTGTATTCCCTCTAAAATTCCGAGAACTTACGAATTTTGATTGAGTTTTTGATTTGTCTACATACATGTATGTAAATATGTGCCTGCATTTGACATTACAACAAGAAATAAAAGAGAATAATGTGCAAAATTTTGTAAAAAGTTCCAATGTTTATGCCTGTCTAAAATCAAAATTCGTCGGTTCGATTTTCATGTAAAATTGCAAGAATAAAAAAAAAGAATAGTCATTTGATTAGGTTTCTGTCCTTTGAAGACTTATCGTTAGTTTAATGCACAAGTGCAACATTACATGATACATATTTAATGTCTAGGTTTAAGTTGTGCCGATATTATTACGTTTTAAGTAGTTTGGATGTACAAAATTCGTAGAGAAACTTTTGTCCTGATACTTGTAAGAAATCTGTTTGTCAGTAGATTCCATACATAGTTCAGAGCGTTCACAATAAATGAGATACATAAACTTTTTTTATACTGCGCAAAAAGTATCACCCTGTACACTAAATTTCTGTAGACCAATCAACTTTTTCATTTCCGTTATTTCAAAATACTATATTTTGATTGGTTTAACGATTGCATTAACTAACCCATAGAAAAAAGGAGTTATTTATTTATGGTAGATGATTGTTACTGTACAACGTTGCCATATTATTCTAAATTTTACATTTTCTTTAATCTGACTACATTACTTATTAAAGTTAACCGTATGTAAAATAATTACACCAAGAAGCCATTAATATTAAAGCAATTTAATAAATTACGTTAGTAAATTAGAAAGTGTGTCAAGAAATTCAGAATAGATGCAAATATACAAAAAATTGCTGTTTTTCATCGTTTATGTAAATTTGTGATTATGATTACGTTTAATTTTTGTTAAAATTTGCTAATTTACCTTGAGTGAGGTTGTTTTTAGTTAACTATTTTGGGTTGTATGATATGACAACGTTGGATTTAATTCCCTTCTTTCTATGTGTGCGTTCATTGGTTGACATTTGACATTGTATAGGTTATAATATTAATATATATATTTTGGTTTTTTAAATATTTTTCTCAACTTTTTAAGCGTTTGAAGAGATGAATGAATCAATTAATATTTATTAATAAAAATTTCAACAGCAGGAATCTTACTAGCTTCGAAGAAAACAGTATTTGTGAAAAAACAAAAATGGACATCGAAGAGCCTATGGAAATAGATGACACCGTTCCTAATACTGTAATTATCGAAAATAAAAGGATGAGTACCGATCTTTTGCCACCGAATGATTCTTTATCCAATAACGAACACCAAAAAACAGATATAGAAAATTCAAATTGCATTAAGACTGATAAATCGCAAGAGGGTGCCGCTAATGAAGACATGCTGAAAAATCCTTCTTGTTTATCAGACGATGATTTGGAAGTAATAGAAGTTCCTTCTAAAAATTTAACTAAAAGTGTTCCTGATGAGCCTGAAACTTCATCTGAAAATAAAGAGAAAAGAAAAGAAGATGACTGTGTAGTTATTCTGACAGACGATGAAGATGAACATACTACAACTGATACCTCACGACGTAAGCGGGACTTAGTAGCCACCGAAGTTATTGATTTAGTCCCCCAAAAGAAGAATTCAGTGAACAATAAATGCATTAATTATGCTTGTCAGAGTGGATTTGGTATGATTAAGGCACCAATTTTCTGTTTATCTTACTTCAGAGTCAAAAATGCAGAAAACAAATGTTTAGAAGTCTGTCAGGAGTGCTTTGAAGAAGCATTCTTGCATTATGATGGACTGTCAACAGCACTAATGGGTATAAATTTTGTCTGTTTAAATTACATTTAAAATTCAAATCGTTAATGTTACAGGGGGTAAACTATTGGTAGAACAAGAGGTGCCTGTGAGAGATGATATGTTTGAAATAGATGACTCAGATTCAGAAGAAGATGCAGAGAAAGAAGTAGCTGAATACTTTGATAATGAATCTGTTGAATTTCTTAAAGAAAATTTAGACATGGTTATTATGGAAACTATTGAAAAATACAAATTAAATGAACAAGTGAATAATTCAGTTAAATATTTGGTAGAAAAAGAAGATAAATTGAAAGGTAATATACACATATTTTGAGAATTTTAAATAAATAAATATAAAGTAGTTAACTATAAAAATTGTCAAACGAAAGAATACTCATTTGTTTAAAACAGTTAAAAGAAACAATTATCTGTTGTAGGTTTATTGTTTTGCAAATGTACATTGATTTGATGTGGTCAAATGACTTATTGATTGTTTATTGATAATTTGATTTGTTAACAATAAGTCAAGTGTAATTTTGCACCATTGCAGTTTAATAACTTGAAACATTTTTTATTACAGAGTCGTGTATACAAGTAGACGGAATGATAAAAGACTTGCGAAAGTGCTTGGATGGTATCCAGAGGAATATCTACAGCGAATTTCGTGTAAGATATCAACATCTTCCATCCCTGGAACTTTGCGACCGTCCTTCCCAAAGTAAATCAGGTGCTTTAGGTAACATTTTCTCTTCTCTTAACACGTTTATTGTTATATAGCAGGTCGAAGGTCAGAACTAAATAGAAAAAGATCCGCCTCTTGTTTCGAAATGGACACAGACAAGCACCAGATTACATCAGAAATGGATAAAATAGATGACGTTGTAGAAGTACCTGCAGATCTACCACCAAAAGGAGAAATCATCAAGCCCGAACCAGTAATAGGTATTTATTTTACTTTTTTTTTGTTATATGTATATGAGAGACATTTTAACTCTAATTATTATCAAATGTAAACCAGAAGTAAATTTAAAAATTCAATGTTTTCATACCATTTATTAATTACAAGTATGCAACGTTTTACTAACTGTAATTATCATATCTGAACTGCAATAGGTAACAAAAGTAATTTTTATATTGTTTGTGTTGTCTGCAGGTCAGGACTATTATTCAGCACGTTACCTCACAATGGGCTCATGGATGCCCGTTAAGTTGGAAAAAGTTCTCGACTCTGGAGAAATGATCAATGGACGTCTTACTAGCAATCATGTATACAGTGTTTTGGTAAACAATAAACAGAAAACGTCTTCCAGTAGCAGATTGCACTCGGGTAGGGAAATGGCATATTTCACGGCCCCAAACGTCCAACTTGACGTCGGCACTCGTGTCATTGCTGTCTTCAGGGAAACTGCAACCAATATGGAAACAAAGAAGCACAAGAAAGAGACTTTCTTCCCCGGAATCGTGGCCGAACCATTGTCCGCTGCTAATCGTTACAGGTCAGTTCTGATTTTAAATATTACCAGTGCTTCCCCCCTATCGGTCACTGTGAGCTCGAATCTGTTAGCACCATTGCTTCGAGTGGTCGAAATTCACTTTTGTGAACAATTTGTTTAATTACTTTCTTTGTGTTAAAAATTGTTTAAAAAATTAAATTTAAGGGAATTGTTTGTAAATAGGTATGCAACACATCGTACACTTCGGCATAAGAATTTGCTAATCTAACTACGTAATACTATGACCTGTGCTGTAGCATTTATCTTAAAATAATGGATTAAACAAATTTTCTTCTCGAAATAACGTTTTTGATAAGGTAGTCACACTTGTCAGATTTATTTTTTGTTTCTTTTGAATCGTTACTATAAAAATTATAATTATTAATTACTTTTATTTTCTTGTGGTTTGTAAAGCAACGTTAATTTGATAATCATTGCGTTTTTGGCGTTTATTTTATAAAAAAAAAAATTTCTTTTTTATCGTTAAGTTATTACTCTTCTAAGTTTATACTTCTTTTAAGTTTTGTAGGTTTGCTGTACCTTATGATATGTATTCCATGGTTTTTTTATTTCAGATATCTCATATTTTTTGACGATGGTTACGCCCAATATGTGAACCATAACCAGGTTCGTCTCGTTTTCGAATCATCCAAATTTGTGTGGGAAGACGTGCATATTGACTCGCGACCCTTTATTAAAAAATATCTTGAATCGTACCCTGACAGGCCCATGGTTAAATTGCGAAAGGACCAAACCGTTCGTACAGAATACAGGGGTAATAATAAGAGTATTATTTTTAAACTTTCGTTTACAGTATTAATATTAATAACAGTTTATTTATTAATTTTATATTTTTATCTCTTTTTTTTTAATGTTGTTTAGGCAAATGGTGGCTGACAACGGTTATGAAGATTGACTGTTCATTAGTGCAAATGTTCTTCGATGCTTCTAACAGAGTCGAGTGGATATATAGGGGTTCGACGCGCTTAAACCCCATGTTCAAAGAAGAGCAGGCTGCAAGTAATCGACTGCAGAACAAAGCGCGAATTATGCCGAGGATGCAAAGGGGAACGGTAAAAATCTATTTTTTAAAACCCTTAGGGTATTATTTTCTTTGCGACATCCGTATACCAAATTCTCTGCTCCCATCTTACGTTTGAGTAAAATCGCTGTATTTTTCTTACAAACAGCAGAGAGGGATATGTTCCAATATTGAATTTTAATAGCGATACATATATAAGTTAATCAAAATATTGGAACCGTGAAGCAGACCTGTGGTTTGTTTGTTTTGATTAATTCCTGTACATGGTTACATAATATAATTTTATTTGTTTTTTGTTTAGGATAACTCTGGCGCTTACGTAGAATACACTAGGAATGATGAGCAAAAGGATAAAGAACTTCCGTCGGAAGCTACCGTGGCTCCTGTGAAAGCCGTTGCTCGGAAGAGCACAGCTAAAGCAATGCTCAATGCTGTCACAAAGCCATCGCCTTTCGTTGGCGCCGTGCCCTTCTTACCAGTAGTAAATAAAGAGAAAGAGACTTTGTCGCCTGCTACACCACCAACTAAAGTTGTGGTAAATAACTCTTTAATATACTAGTTCTTCCCCCCTATCAGTCAGTGTGAGCTCCAAACGGTTAGCACCATTGCTTCGAGTGGTCGAAATTCATTTTTGTGAACACAATTTGTTTAATCGCTTTCTTTGTGTTTATTAAGTTGCTTTGATATTCATAGTAGAAAATATTCTAGTCAGTCTTGTAGTGTTCAGTCACTGTTATAAAAATAAAGAAGGCATAGGCACCTTTGGTTGCTAACATCGGCGTCTTGTGGAGCTTTTTTATTTTTCTTTTTTTTAAAGTAATTTGAATTCTTGTTCTTTTTCCTTTTAGTATTTTACCCCAAGGGCTCAAACGAATCTCAGGGCCCCCTACAAGTGTCACGTATGTTCTCCACGTTGCAAGCGTTACGTTCTTCATAATGTCAACAAACTAAATAGCTACAACCCTCTCGCAAAACCCCTTTTATGTGGCTGGAACCGACTTACCCTTAAACATAAGGGAAAAAGGGAAATAAATTATAAGGTAAGTATATTATTTACATAATTTGGTCTATGGTATCAGTAAGATAAATTTTCCATTTTAATTTGTAGGTGTTTAAATAAACTTTAGTTAAAATAATGCTACTTGAATCTTTTAAAATCTGCATGTTTCGTTCAGCAGGAGTTGATAAATTCTAAATTAATGTTTCTAGGCTCCCTGTGGTCGTTTCATTCGGACCATGGCAGAATTACATTTATACCTGAGGCTCACTGAAAGTGAAATGACCGTTGACTTATTTGACTTTGACTATTGGGTTCACTGTCTTGCAGAATTTATGTTGGAAAAAGATGCAACAATCAACAAGGATTTATCAAATGGTATTTATGTCTTCTCTTTCAACTCTTTCTTCTGCTATTTTCCAATAAATGTATTTTTAACTTTTATTTTTCTTAGCTCTTGAAAACGTTCCAATTCCTGTTGTAAATTACAACGACAATGAAATGAACGATTTCTGTAATTATTCCACAAAAAGAGAACCAATGGATGGGGTTAATCTGAACTTGGATCCCGAATTTTTATGTGGTTGTGACTGTGAAGACGATTGTACCGTAAGTAATCTTTTTGAGAAATTTATTAATCTTTTTTCTTTTTAATAAATAAATTTCTCAATAACAGTTACCTATCTGTATTTAATAATTCTTTTAAGGACAAGATGAAGTGTCAATGCTGGCAATTAACCCTGGAGGGCATGTCTTATCTCCAAAAGAACATTTCTCCAGATCAGGTTGGTTATCAGTACAGAAGACTTCCAGAGGCTGTTCCTACAGGAATTTACGAATGCAATTCTAGGTATTTTTTGTTATTTTTAATATCTTCCAAATTGAAACTCCTATCAATGTATAAAGCATCTATTTTTGTTTTTAGATGTAAATGTGCACCAACGTGTCTCAACAGGGTGGTTCAGAACCCCCTTCAGTTAAAATTGCAGGTGTTTAAAACGACAAATCGAGGCTGGGGTATCAGATGTCTCAATGACATCCCTCAAGGTGCATTTATTTGTATCTATGCTGGTTCTCTTCTAACAGAACAAATGGCTAATGAAGTAAGTGGTTTAATAAAAAGAAAACATTTTATTCAGTATATTTTTTCTACTAATCTACATTTCTTTTTTGCTTTTTAGGGAGGTAAAAATTATGGGGATGAATATCTAGCAGAATTGGATTATATTGAGGTAGTCGAAAAGATGAAAGAAGACTACGAAGAAGAGGCTGTATTAGATGAAGAAGACCTAAAGAAACCTAAAAGTCGCGAAAATTCTGATAACGAAGACGACGAAAAAGAACAAAGCACAACAGGAAGAGGAAGAAAGAAAAACTATACTGAAGACACAGATTTTGTTCTCAATGTTAATTTTAACGCTAACGACTCGTCTATAAGGTAAAAATAATTTCTGTAAAAGAAAAAGTGCTTCTCCATTCTGAAAGATATTTATTATGTTACTGTTCCAGATCTCGATTGAGACGAAGGCATACAGAAGAGGAGCCGAAGACTGAAGTAAAGGAAAATGACACTAAGAAGAAGGAAGCGACCGAAAAAAAAGAAGAAAAGAAGGACAAAGCCGAACCTGAAGAAGATTATGTCATGATTAGTGACGACGAAGATTGTGAGTGCATATTTCTATAGTTCAGTAAATTTAACTTGTTATATTTTTTAGTTAAAATCTTAATATGTTTATTATTTTTAATCGGTATTGTTAAGAAATTATTAAAAAGTAATGTTTGTCAGGTGTCCACGAACCCTCGAGTTTCAACCCTAAAGATGAGTCCAAACTGGATGAAACGCGCCCCATGAAGTACATGTCGGTCAGAGAACTGTACGCCGAAGACGAATGCGTTTACGTAATGGATGCCAAAGTTTCAGGAAATATTGGACGATTTCTAAACGTAAGTCATTTTATTTAGCGAAGAAAAAACAAAAACTTAGTTTGATGTATAGATTATAGATATTGGAATTAGCTAGCAGTTTTTTTTAAATTTATTTATTTTTTTTTAAGCATTCCTGTTCTCCAAACGTTTTTGTACAGAACGTTTTCGTGGATACGCACGATCTTCGGTTTCCGTGGGTAGCATTTTTTGCTTTAACATACATTCGGGCAGGGACAGAGCTCACGTGGAACTACAACTACGACGTAGGAAGCGTCCCTGGGAAGACAATGTACTGCTATTGCGCCTCCGACGAATGCAGAGGTAGACTTTTATAATTCTTCTTTTTTTTTTTTAAATGTCAGGCTCATAGAAGTGTTGTAGTAATAACTTTTTGTTTTATTAATTGTAGAAAGTTGAATGAATACTCTTTTGATTCGAACTTCATTTTTTTAACTACGTACATTCGAGTCTGTTTTTATACGATTTTGATTTAACACGACTGGTGAAATCTGAGAAAAACATTTTTTTAATATTACATGTCTGGTATTCTCCGAATCACCTGACTGACTGGAATTCCCTGAATTTTAATCTTTAAATATATTAATTTTGTCGAAAATTAATTTTAATAAATAATGGGATATATGTTTTACAAGAATTCTTCCAGAAAGTCGTGTAAAAACGGAATTAAACGTACGTGAATGTTACTTGGCCTCATATACAGAATCGCAAGAGAACTGTTAAAATAGGGAATTTTAAGTGTTTTATTATTTGTTTTTTGGTGTTAAGTACTTCTTTTAATAATATTCTGAGTTAAAACTTTCCACAAAGTATTTATCGTTTGAATAAAAGAGTCAGTGACAGTTTTTCTTAATATGTATTGTTTAATTTAAAAAAATACACCTACAACAAAATATCACTCAGCACTTTGAATATACTGTTCTCTTTCAGTACTTTCATCTTACATTATTATTATCATTAAAAAAACTAAACTCCCTAATAATAAATACAGTTTGGGTAGATATATAAGTTGTTTGATAATGACAGTAAGAAAAGAAAAGATTAAAAGGTAGTCAGTGGGAGGTTTAAGGATTATTTGGTCAACAGTAATTGCTTAATCTCACTGTTCTCTGCTGCGTCTACATATGTCGTACCATCAGGTGCACGACCGTCTCGCAGAGCACCCTACAAGTCCCAAAAACAGTACATACAATATTTTTTGAAATGAATATTTACCTTATCTAATAAGAGTTTGACACAGTCTTTATGTCCTTCCCAGATCGCAGCTAAAATTGCTGTTATTCCATGCTTGTCTTTAGACTGAAATTATAGCCAAATTACTTACCAATATTAATGTAATTAGCCAAACTTACATTTACATCTGCTCCAGCTGATATGAGATATTCTATAACGTCTGCCTGACCATAATCAGCAGCATACAAAATAGGGGGTCGCCCATCTATTTCTTGATTTACATCTACACACTGAAACATAAATTTCTTAAAATTAAATTGTGATCACTTCATTTTTCTGGAACCGTTACTAATTGATACTGCTGGCCACTTAACAAAACTGTTTTACACATTTCGTAAATATGAAACAAACCTTTTTTTCTATTATATCCTTTACTTGTTCTAGATCTCCGTTTTTTATTCCCCAAACCAATTCACTCATTTTCGAACTAATTTAAGTGTTTGTGAAAATAAGATGATAATACGACTATGTCTGACAGATAAATAACAGTTGACTGAGTTGACATTTGACCATAGATCATTTGACATAAGAAAAGCGTTTTCCAACGATGTACCAACCCTAAACATTAAATTTACTAGCTCTAGTGGTAGTTAAATAGTAACGGTCAGAAAATAAAAAACGGTAGTTGTAAATAACACCAGTTTCTTATTTCATTGTGTATAATCTGCCATTAGGGCCTTTAAAGAATGGTGATATGTGTTACTATCTTCGACGAAATTAACAGATCTCGTTGATGACGTATTTCCTTCCCGTTCTTTGTCTGCTGTTGCATCTATAGTTTGTTTCTGTTTCTTGTGATATTTTGTGTGCATTTTCGATACAAAAATTTGGAAAAAAGTGCTGGTACTTACAAAATTTCTCTCACAATAGATTCTGGAATTACAGTTTTATCTGTTGTGCAGTATTTTATTATTGAGTATCGGATTATTTTTATGATTTCCATCGATTAAGTTACGAAGGTAAATGTTCGTTACTCCGCCATATTTGATAATTTAGGGAGAACGTGGAAACTTACTAATGTGTATTCAATAGTTATCAGTTTAGTACAAAAAATTGTTTTTATAAAGTTTTTTTATAACAAAAGTACTGTTCATGAATGATTATTAACCAGCTACAAAATAATTATTTTTGTCTTTCATTTGATATTTTCTTTTTGCAGTTACACATTGGGAATACATTTCTTCCTGCCTCTATCAAACGAACTTTCCTATAGCAATTCAAGCTACGGAGAGCGTATTACCTTCCAAAGTCTTAAAGGGCCTTGTTGTTTAGAGGTAAGATGACTGAAAGTATTTGAAAATAAATATGTATGTAGTAATATTAATTGTTTAAAATATCCTGATGTTAACAGAGAAAAGGGTTCTGCATTATTTTAATGTTCTATTATGTAGTTTTTTTTACTAGGAAGATTAAATTAATTTTATCTTAAAACAAACATTATGTTGAGAAAAAGTTACTAAAATGTTTTTTCTTTTGTTTCCATTTAGCTTCAATTAAGAGTCATGAAAGTGACTTCCTCTCCTGGGAATAAGGATATTGATCACAGCATGATGTGGATTACTAAAGAATGAATTTGCAACATGTAAATAATTACTTTTCGGACACGTTTGGAGTTCTAGGATTAGAAGGTAAGAAAAATCCTTTAACAACATTTTTGGGGCTTTAGCTGATTTGTTACACCACATAATAATAGGTTCTTCATGTAAATTCCCATTTATTTACAGTAGACACAATTGTTTCACCATTAGGTTATTATTGTTGTATTGTTTGTCTACAATATTGAAAATTTCTTGAAACATCACGTTTTGGTTTGTTATAATATGGACAAGTTTCAATAAGAAAAGTTGTTTGACTTTTAATTTTCATGTACTTGTTCAATTCAACTTTTTTTTAATAAGCCTGTTTGACATTATAGTACCATTACATTTTGATTGCTCTGTTACAAAAATTCAAAGAATCTAAATTTAAAAAAATTGCAGAAATGCTGAAAATACTTCCTTTTATTAAATACAAACATTGAGAATTTTTATTTTATTTTAAATTTAAAATTACAACAATATTAATGTATAATGTACCATGATATAATTAATATTGCTGTTGATGTTTTGTTTTCAATTTTTGCTCCATATATTAGTAGAAACTTTCAAACAACATTTCCAAAATGGCAGAAGTGGAAGAGTAGAATTAATGTGGAACTGACCTTTCCCTCAGTGTATATGTTGCCTTAATACAAACTTTTACATTTTATTTAAATGTAGGAAAAGGGGCCTTAAATACGTAAATTTTCAAAGTAACAGCTGTCTATTTTGCTGATTAATTAATGGTACGTCATGTATCTACTATTCTCTTGGTCACCTGTCTTTAACTTCACTACCACATTGTCACATTAAAAAGTTACTGATTTACGTGCTTTAAAAGTTGTAATTAATTACTTTTTTGCCCATTTCTATAGATTATCCAACAAATGCAGTTAATTTTGGTTCTACTGAAACAGCTAATGTTTTTAATGTCTTCACCGTGCACAACATTATGCGGTTAATTTTGAACTTGCAAGGTGGGAGGCAACTGAATATTAATTTGGAAACTACTGAATTCAAATTGTCTGTAGTGCTATATCTCCATAATTTGGCTTGCTCATCACCCTTGTATACTCTAGAACGCTACTTTCTGCAGTTAATTAAGGTAAGAGTGCATATCATAATTATTTTTAATCGTTCTTTACAGCATAAGTTAATGTTATCATGTATTTACAGTATTGTCCACAGAATAAGTTGACTTTTCAAACATCTACAGCATTTTATTTGTTTATTGTAACAATTGAGTGATATTATCATGCATTTATGGTACTTTTTTGAAACAAATATTGTCTACTGCATAAGTTGACGTTATGGTGCATCCATGATTACTTCACATTTATTTGTCTTGATATAGATCACCATTTTATAATTCAGCTATTTTAATTGTTTCTTGATGCGTGTTTTTATTGTGTTTCTTATCTTATATAGGAGTGTAATTAATCCTTAATTTTTGCCCATTTCTGCAGATTTTCCATGTGAAGGCGAATTAAAGATTAGTGTGGTCATGCAACCGATGTCCACATGGGTGGCGTTTTCCTGCACTTTATTGTTGATTTGCTGTTTTCGTTTGAATTTGATCCTGCAGTTAATTAAGGTGAGAGTATATGACATAATTAGTTTTAATTGCTCTTTACAGCATAAATTAATGTTATCCTGTATTTATGGTATCGTCTACAGTATAAGTTAACGTTCTACATCTATGGCATCTCTTTTAACCGTTATCTATTGATCCATTGTTTACAGAACAAGCTGGCGCTTTCGTGTATCTATGGTACCAGTTAACATTTATCTATCGTTCACACCATAAATTAATGTTATCGTGCATCTATTGGTATTCTAACGATTCCGTATTGTTCGCAGCATTAAGTGACGTTATCGTGCACTTTGGTACTTTCTTTTTTTAACAAATATCTATGGTGTATCTATGATTACTTCACATTTGTCAAAATGTCATTTTATAATTCAGGTACTTTAATTGTTTGTTGGTGCGGGTTTTTATTGTTTTTCTTCTCTTACTTATATAGGAGTGTAATTAATCCTTAATTAATACGTTTTTTTGTCCATTTCTGCAGATTTTCCAACAAGTGAAAGAGAATTAAAGATCAGTTTGGTCATTCTGAAACAATCAATGTCTACATGGGTGGCGTTTTCCTGGACTTCACTGTTGATTTGCTGTTTTCGTCTTCACTTTCCAACATTATGCAGTTAATTCTCAACGGAGGAGTGAGAGCACCTGGAGATTTTATTTGCTTTTCACATCTGCAAACTTTGGAACATTACAATTTACAGTTAATTAAGGTGAGAATGCTTGATATTATAATTAATTTCAATTGCTCTTTATTAATCTGTTACCACCGTATCTGTTTCAGATCGACGTGGGAAAAGACAAAGAAGATCCCATAGTTAAAATACTTTATCTTGCATGTTCTATTAGACACAATTAGAATTTTTTATTTTGCATGGTTTTTGTAGTTCATTTTATTTGAATTAGTTTTTTATTTTGCATGCTTGTTTTTGTTCATTTTATTTGAAGTAATTGTTGATTGTAGATGTTTTTATTTTTTTTTGTATGTAGTAGTAGTGTAGTAGTAGAAATAACACGTTTAGTAGTTGTAGTATAGTCTAACCTTGCTTACCTCTTCGCTTAGCTTACTGCATATTCTTCCTAATTTGCTTTGCATTTACCCTACGAGTTCTACATGATTCAACGTTTCGTTATCGTGTGTGTTTCTTCTCACCCTTGTGGAATTAGGGAGGGCCTCCCCGAACGACTTCCCTTGGGCTTAGCTATTTAGTTGATCTTAAAAG